TTAGAATGTGCAGATGACAATATGGACTCTTCAGTCCATCAGAGAGCAGCTTCACTCCTGAATCTTGCAGGTCATTGTTACTCAGATCTAGTTCTCTCAGGACACAGTTTGAGGATTGAAGAGCGGATGACAAACTCTCACAACACTGAGCAGTGAGATTACAGGACTGTAAACTGGAAAACAAAAACTGTTATCAGTATATAATATAATACCCAACTATTTCAAATTTACACAACAATTTTTGTAATGATTTTCTTGATTTTAAGTATTACACGTAAAATATGCTTATCACTTAATTAAATATCACTCTTTATGTGACAAGATCAAGAAGGGCAGTTTATTCAATATTTTATGTCCCAATAATCTAGCATTCTGTTAAGTTAAAGTTCAACCACCTCTGAAGCAGCTAATTAATATCTTCCAAAACACCTGTCAGCATCTCTAATATACTAATGTTTCTACAAATGGTTGTAACTGAACTATGCAGTAAGGGAGATCTCTGGGAAGAGTTTTGGGCATCCTTGGTCTAAGGTTTGGCCCTGTTAATTTAGAGACCAAATAAAATGACTAACCATGTCTGTAAATAAATGTAAAGGTGACTCTTACAGTGCTCGTCTAGTGTTTTTGATCACTGGTAACAGTCTCATTAATGCTTCACCAGATCTTCTGTATTTCTGTAGTTCAAACATCTCTTGAGTTTCTTCTGAAATCAGGAGCAGAAACACCAGAGCCGACCATTGAGAAGAGGAGATATTTTCTTTAAGATTTCTCGATTTCAGATGAAACTGGATGTCCTCCGTAAAGTCTTCCTTCAGTTCACTCAGACAGAAAAATAGGTTGATAGTTCTCTCTACCTTTTTTTCCTTCTCTATTTTCTTTTTGATATAATCAGCAACATCTTTGACATTCTTGGTTTTTAGTCTCAGTCTGGGCAGCAGTTCCTTCAGGTCACTCTGATTGGACTCCAGTGAGAGACCCAGCAGGAACCTGAGGAAAAGGTCCAAGTGTCCATTCTTGCTCTGCAAAGCCTTGTTGATCGCAGCCTTATGAAAGTCAAATAATGACTTTTTGAAGAATCCCCATTTCACTTTGTCTGTCCAGGATTGAAGAAATACAAATCTTCTTCCAAAACATTTGTATTTGAAAAACACGTAGAGAGCAGCTAAGAACTCCTGAACACTGAGATGTACGAAGCTGTAAACATTTCTTATTGAAAAAGCCCTTTCTTTCTGAAAGATCTGAGTGCATAACCCAGAGAACACTGACCCTTCACTGACATCTAGTCCACACTCCTCGATATCTTCTTTGTAGAAAATCAGATTACCTTTCTGTAGCTGTTTAAAGGCCAGTTTACCAAGTTTCAGAACAACCTGATCAAAAGACTTGGCTGTAGGATCAAGTTCAGCATCATCACAGTATTTTTTCATCTTTTGCTTCTGCGATAGTAAGAAGTTTGTGTACATCGCAGTGAGAGTTGTTGGTATTTTGTCATTGCCCTCTTGTGTCAGTAGAGGTTGAAGAACAGTGAGACAGATCCAGCAGAAGACGGGGATGTGGCACATAATACACAGGCTCCTGGATTTCCTGATGTGACAGATGATGTTTTCAGCAACCCCAGGACTGTTTTTGATGAAGTATTGCTCTTTTTGCTCATCATTGAATCCTCGCACCTCTGTCACCTGATCAATGTAGTCTCGGGGTATCAGACCGGCTGCTGCTGGTCTGGATGTGATCCAGATGAGAGCAGAGGGTAACAGATGTGTCTTGACCAGGTTTGTAACTATTTTACTCACTGTTGTTTTTACATGCACATCTGTGAATGCATCACTTTCATTGAATCTCAAAGGGAAATGACATTCATCCAGCCCATCAAATATGAACAAGACCTCACAGTCGCCTTCAGGAAGAGAGGGAAGTTCTTCGGGACCACTAAAGAAGCATTCTTGAAGCAGATCGATGAGACTGCAGTTCTTTTTAATCATATTCAATTTACGAAATGGCAGAGGAAATACGAAGAGTATATTCTGATTTTCATTTCCTTCAGCCCAGTCAAGAATGAATTTATTGACAGAGATTGTTTTTCCCACCCCTGCGATTCCCATCGTCAGCACTTTTCTGTTTTGTTGAGCCATATGTTCTTTGAATAAGTGATTGCACTGGATCGCTGAGTCCTCCGCAGTAGATCGGCTGATGTTTAGTTCGATCTGTCTCACCTCATGGTCAATCATTATTCCTCCAGTCTCATTCTCCACCACATATAGATCAGTGTAAATATCATTCAGGTACTGCCGATGACCTGTCTGAGAATTACCAACCAATATCCGTTTGTATTCCTCTCGTAATTTGTTCTTCAGTCTGAGGCTGAGCTTTCTGTAATAATAAAGATCAGCAGTACTGTCCTCTACAGTTGAGACTTTGAGAAAGAGAAAAACAAAATAAAGCAAAGAGTTAAAGAAAATCTCAAAATACTGAGTTTAGAACCATGAACTGATTGATTGCAATGAGTTTGTTGATAAATTTGGAATTTTATTAACACATTTTTTAATTTTTAAATAAATTAACATAATTGTTGTGGTGAGGTAAGTAGCTGAGCAGTAAGTAAGTAGGTCAAGTGCAAAATGAAGGTGGTCATTATTTACCCCAGATCTGTTTTGAAGCAGCTCCAACAGTGGCAGAAGCATTCATAATGCCCTTAGTCTGAACTGTGAAAGAGGGAGATGAAACAAAATGAAAACGCAGTTACAGAAATCAAACTGGTCAAGCAAGAGTTTAAGCTGAAACCTATTTGTTACTTTATTCTCTAAATGTACACCATACACTTGTAAAGATTTTAGTTACCTTCATTGTGTTTCTTCTCTAACTGTTCAGCCAGAAGGTTTTGGTTCATCTTCCCAAGGATGTTCACTGTGATCTTCACAGCTTCTTCTTGCCCAAAAATTGCCACCATTTTGTCCACTGTGTCTAAGACATCGGTGTTCTCCATTTCAGAAGTTGAAACACACTCATGATTCTTCAGGTGCCACTGAAACTCCTTCAGGTCATCTTTGACTAGATCCTTCAGTGAGTTCACAAGCTGCTCTTTAACAGATGCCATAGTCCTTCAATGATTCACTTCTGCAGGGCAAGAAAACCCATGTGGATCTATGTGCACAAATGTTATTTGGATCATAAAATGCCTGCTGCAGTGTGATCAGATAATGAGTGACTGACAATGAGTGAAAGGGGAATCCTGTGCTGCAGTAAAACTAACATGAGTTACATTTTATTTGGCCAACAAGCTTAAGTACAAAGAAGTGTAGTCAGATGTGGACAGATTTAATAATGAAAAAAAAACCACTATCTAAACATTAGTTTTAAACAACTGAAAAGTAAACAATTGAAACAAGAAGCTACTTTTTGAGATGTAACATGAAGAAATAAGTGGCCGTTTACACCGAAAGTATTTTGGTGTCCACCAATTCTGTTCAGTCCTTTTATTTTTTTGAAAATGGACTGGACGGATTCCTTCATCCATTTTGTTTTTTTCTTTTTATGTTGTCATTTCTTGTTCTAAACTGTTAGAAACCTTTGTTTTGCTCAGGTGAACCATTGCTTTCACTGATTGTTTGATCTGAACTTTTGAATTGCTGAGTGCAGGAGTTGGAGGAAGGAAGTTAATCAAGTTTATTTCATGTTTTAGGTTATAGAATGTTAATTTCGTCTATTGTGGCAACAATAGTTTACACTCTCAGAAAAAAGGTACAAAAGCTGTCACTGGGGCTGTACCTTTTTAAAAGGTACACTTTTGTACCCAAAGGCTGCGTATTGGTACCTTAGTGGTACATATTAGAACCTAAAATGTACATATAAGGACCTAAAATGCACATATTAAGACCTAAAATGTACCTATTAGCACCTAAAATGGACATATTAGCTCCCGAAATGTACATATTAACACGTAAAATTTACTTATTAGCACCTAAAATGTACATATTAAGACCTAAAATGGACATATTAGCTCCTGAAATGTACATATTAACACTTAAAATTTACTTATTAGCACATAAATGTACATATTACGACCTAAAATGGACATATTAGCTCCCGAAATGTACATATTAACACTTAAAATGGACAAAAGTTTACCTTTTGAAAAGGAACAGCCCCAGTGACAGTTTCTGTACCTTTTTTTTTTTTCTTTTTACTTTTGAAGCTAGGTAAGTTATTTCTAAAAACCCTTAGTAAGAATTTATTTTGTTTGCTACTTTGGCCGTTTCCTCTCCTGTCCATTCTCAGTCTTGTTTCTATCCCACTGATTAATATTATTATTTTACAAACTGGTGTTGTAATTTGAGCTTGTCCTGGGACCTGGAGAAGGGAATTCCCACACTGACTCCCTGCAACGTTTCGTTATCTTCCTTTCCTCTAGACCAGAAAGAGGGCTCGTTGCAGTATCTGAAGCAAAAGTCAATCAACTCAAATCAGTGTTTTATGATCAGGATGTTAGATTATCTCTTTAATGACATACATTTTAACTTGTAAAGTGTCCAAAGTCCTTTCAGCATAACCTTTGTTCCCCATATAGTAACACACACGCACACTCGTTTTGCATGCTCAAATAAATGTGTGTAAATACTCATGTTAAGTCATGTGAAAAGCAAAAAAAAAAAGTCTTTCAATCAGTGTTTGTTTGTTATTTTCCATAGATTCTGAAAAGGTATAAACCAAATACAGCACAGAGGGGTTCAGTGAATGTGTGTGTCTGAGATGATGTAAGGAAACAGCGCAGGACTCATTAAACTTATTCCTTACCTGATAATTCCTGTGATACATCACCCCGTCCCACTTCATTTAGCCGAACTGAACGCAGTCAGGTCATTGTTACTTGAGCCCGGCTCTCTCCGAGGAGTTTGATGAAACTTACAGATTCAACTATTTCACATGACTGATAAGTGTGTCTGTTGATGGACACTCTAAATGCAGAAATAAAAACAAATATTACAAATCAACTCAATGTATACTAAAAATTGTAATATATCATGTACATTTTTCATTTTAGTTCAATTGAGAAATTGATAGTTAAACAATTAGTATTGGAGAATTTTAAAAGAAATCTGCTGATCTTGGTTCTTAGTAAAAAAAAAACCTAAAGAAATGTAATGCTTTTTTATTTTATTTGCTAACTCACCTTTAATAATGACGATATGTTGATGTTTCTCCTCTGAACTGTCTTCAAGAGCAGAAGCTCCTTCCACATCTGAATTTTCATAAAGGGCTTGTCATCTGAATTTCCGTTAAACCACACCCACTTCAGGAAAATGCCACCATTACATCACATGATCCAGTTAAACCACACCCACTTTTGAAAAATGCCACCATTACATCACATGATCCAGTTAAATTGTTGAACAAATGTCTTTAAATTTATTATTAAAAAATATATTAATATATATTTATTTGCATATTATTAATGAACAGATTGTGTCCAGTAATCCACATTTTAAAAGTTTTCCTTAATCGACACACTGAGCTCAGGTCACGTCTATGAATAATGAGGAGATCATTCACCCAGGTTCAATAAGAGAAACATCTGCAATGATCAATGCTGAGGACGATCCAGTATCAAAAAAGTGTGACGTTCACTTCATCTCCACGGAAACGACACACCCACATCGCTGTCCTGTTCAGTGTTTCTCAGATAGGGAGCGAGTCTTCCAGCTTATCTTCTACAGCAAGAAATAAACTGAAGGTTTAATATATATGACGGGCACCAAAGAGGTATGATTTTATTTTTTCTCTATTCCACTTTTTTTTTTTTGCTTGAATTTGCTTAAATATACAGTGCACACAAAATACCCTGTATGACTGATTAAACTCCATTTTTGCTTTAGCTCACAGTATTTAAGTCAATGTGCTGCTTCTGGAATGACAACCAGAGATTTTAAATTAATCTTAAATTATGACCAAAAAAAAAAAAAACAACAACAACCAGGGGACCATTTTACATAAAGACCTTAAATTTGTAATCCTATTTTATCTGTTTTCTTTCTTTCTGCAGCACTTAAATAAAAGCTAAAAGCACACCAGTTTAGTTTCTCCATTTTAATCTCCAGCATTTACTTCACAGCTGATTGGATGCTTGGTAACAGACCTCAGAGTTGATTACCGAACAATAGATTTCCTAACAATATGCTGACGTAGTAAAGTTGCTATACCTCTTCTCTTTCAAATTTGAGATACTTTAAACAAGATTATAGAAAAAAAAAAACTTGAACAGCTATTAAGGCACAGGGCTTAATGAGGGAGATGAATGACCATAATAATAATATATGTATTATTACTGCTAGTCTTTTTAGACTAATTGTTTTATACATTGTAATGGAATTTTTCTTAGAAGCTTTAGGAATGTACATCGGCTAAAATAATTTTAACTCAATATTTCAGTATTATTTGGCAAGTCTGTGTGTAATAAACATGATAAAGTCACTCATTGTCTCATTAGACTTGAATGTAAGGTCAACGGCCAGACATGATGGAGAATATCCCTGTCAGGGTTTATTGTGCAAACTGTCCTCATGCAGTGAAACAAAACATTCAACAGTGTGCAACTTCAAGAGAGCAACCGTCTGTTGTGTTTTCTTTAATATATGGTTAAAATTGATAAGAATTATTATAATTTATGTAGTTATAATTTAATTTATACCATACACATTATTCGTTTGTCATTTTTATACTTTATATAACTTATTTCCTTTCAATTGCTGTCTAATCTTCTGATTGTGTGCTTTCAAGGGATGTTTGTCTTCAAGAGAATGAGATAAATCATCCCCATTTCAAGGTTTTTAAGGTCACAGGATGATGTTGAAGACTAAGGCAGCTGCTAAAAAACTGTGAAATGTGGCACACAGATAGAGGACAGTCTAAACATTATTCACAGCAGTTTTGAAGTCTTTAACTCAATTTCTCTAGCGCCATCAGAGTTTAACTCATGTTTATGAAAATAACTTTAGAAGCGTAAGGGCTAAAAACTGTTGATAGAGTTTTGGGTACCGGACAAGATTTGCTGTTAACACGTTTTACTGGTTTCGGACACCAGATGAAACAGATCTTTTTTTAAACAGGATTCAGATCTGATGTTTCTGACATCCAATCTCACAAAATGCTTAGCAATACCGCAAAATATAAATAAGCTGTAAATGGAGACTATAAGATATGTCTAAATACTCCACTTCTGTGTATAATGTAAAAATGGTTGAAATATAGTTCAATTCACTGTTTAAATACTGGTCAAATGTTTTCAATTCAAGTAGCTTTATTGCATATACACCGAATACACACACATTTAAAGGATTAGTTCACTTTTGAAAAAAACTTTCGCTGATAATTTACTCACCCCCATGTCATCCAAGATGTCCATGTCTTTCTTTCCTCAGTCGAAAAGAAATTTAGGTTTTTGATGAAAACATTCCAGGATTTTTCTCCATATAATGGACTTCAATGGGAACCAAACGGTTCAAGGTCCGAAAGACAGTTAATAACAGTTTCAGATGAAGCTTCAAATGTCTTTAAACGACACCAGACGATGAATAAGGGTCTTATCATGCGAAACGATCGGTTATTTCAAAACTTATTCCAAAAATGTAACTTTTCTAAGGACAAATGCTAGCCTTGCTCTATTCTGTGAGGCGCGTTTGTAACGTCACGTACTACGTAATTACGCTCAAAAGGTCACGGACGACGTAGCCGGAAGTACAGAATCAAAATCGTCCGACATCGTTGTTTTACCTTTTAATTCCTTTTTTTGTAAACGGCGTTTGAGTTAGTTCAACCTATGCGTTCAACTTGTAAACACTCACTCTGTACTTCCGGCTACGTCGCCCGTGACCTTTTGAACGTAATTACGCATTACGTGACGTTACAAACGCGCCTCACAGAATGGAGCAATGCTAGCATTTGTCCTTAGAAAAGTTACATTTTTGGAATAAGTTTTGAAATAAGCGATTGTTTCGCATGATAAGACCCTTATTCATCGTCTGGTGTCGTTTAAAGACATTTGAAGCTGCGTCTGAAACTGTTATTAACTGTCTTTTGGATCTTGAACCGTCTGGTTCCCATTGAAGTCCATTATATGGAGAAAAATCCTGGAATGTTTTCATCAAAAACCTTAATTTCTTTTCGACTGAGGAAAGAAAGACATGGACATCTTGGATGACATGGGGGCGAGTAAATTATCTGCAAAAGTTTTTTCAAAAGTGAACTAATCCTTTAAAGAGAGTTAAACTCTTATCTTGTATTTTAATAGATGCCTATTCCTCTCTGTTGCTAAGGTCCAGGACGATGATGGAAACATTAAATGAATTATCCCGGCTGAGAGACTCTGGGTTCGGCCGACCCTGGCCCAGACACGGACTTAAGCTCCTCTACTGGTTCGCCAATGACTGTGTTTCTTTTGGCAAAGACAACGTCATGCTCTCCGAATGTGAACCAGCCGACGGAGATTTCGGTTTTCACTATTTTGAGAACAGATATGACGAATATGGGGATCAACTTCTCCCACAGATGTATTTCCCTTACTATGTGGTTGGAAATCTAAACTCACCAGGAGCTGAAGAACTCCCTGAATACGTCTCAGAAGACAACTCTACTGACCAGCACAACAGCAACACGGACCGCGTCATCGTCAGTCTCTACGAGGAGGAGTGGTTTCATCAAGTTTATGTGACTCAACACCACGACCGCTCAAACTACGACCCAAACGCCACTTACCGGATCTCCAGAGGCCTTCTCATGATCATCAGGAGGATGAGTTTAGATACGTTTCTGGAGGAGATGGATTATGATACATATATACAGCCTTTCTTACCAACACCGGTCTTCAATTACAGACCTCCAACTACAAACACAGTCAGACCAAATTTCACAGCGGTCACTCCATCATCCAGTGATTCAGATGACAGTGAGCATGAGAGATATGAGGACAAGAAAACTGGTAATTACACGTACATACCAACACCCGTCACCAATTACAGGCCTCAAACTACAAGTACAGCAATTCCTCCATCATCCAGTGATCCAGCAACACAAAACAATGACACCAAAATCCATATAAATGACAACGGGAAGACCGTTTCTTTACCAAAACCTGTCACCAATTACAGGCCTCAAACTACAAGTACAGCAATTCCTCCATCATCCAGTGATCCAGCAACACAAAACAATGACACCAAAATCCAGATAAATGACAACGGGAAGACCGTTTCTTTACCAAAACCTGTCACCAATTACAGGCCTCAAACTACAAGCAAAGTCAATCCAGAATTCACTGTGGCCACTATATCATGCAGTGATCCAGCACACAATGAGAACAATGACACCACAATCCAAATAGATGATGACACGTCTACACGACAGCACTCAGCGAACTTTCCCAAGAAGAAGGGATTCTGCAAAAGATTCTGCACCATACTTTAAAAACGGACCATCATCTGCAGCTGCACTCTAGTGCTCCTGGGAAATTGTACAATGGTACAATGGACCTCTTTCAGCTGCACTATTGTCAGAGATGATTTTATTTATTTATACCTTTTTATCATAAAAACATTTGAGTGTTTTAATTTTGGTTACCCAATAGAGTTATATGTACCTTTTTCTTGACCCTGTATTGTCTTATTGTGTTTTTTTTAGTCTGTCTTTTGTGCCCTGTGTATTTATTGTGTAATTTTTTGTTGTTTTGCACTTTTTTCACCTTATCTTGGCCAGGTCGCCATTGTAAATGAGAATTTGTTCTCAATCGGCCTACCTGGTAAAATAAAGGTTAAATAAAAATAAAAAAAATAAAAAATTCATGCGGTTCTTTACCACAGACTGTTTAGCTTGCTATTTGTTTTAATAAGAGCAAACTGCAATGGTGCGAGACGTTTAAACCACACAGAGAACATTGCGTCATGTGACTGAAATCTAAGTTTTGTAATTGCTTTGTTTTATCTATTAAAGTAATCAAAATGTAAAATAACAAAGTAATCATTCAAGAGCAGTGAGTTTGTCTTCAGTCGTTTGATGAACATTACTGACCGACAGGATCAGGAATATTAGGCTGCCGTCACTTTAGGACCTAATGCACAGATCCAACATACCGACACACGTGTTTTCTTTCTCTCGTACCCTGCAGTACGAACACACCAAGTCCATATTTCCACCAACTCTTAAAGTAACTACGAAGAAGTTCCTCTGGTGGGAAATGATTCACAATGATTCAGGAGCAGTTTGTTCTTTAGCGTGTTTCTCTAGAGTTTTCTTTCCCACTCAATCCCTTCCGTCTTAACCTGCTTTTGTCATACTGAAACTCTTCCCACAAACGCTACAGTGATACGGTTTCTCTCCGGTGTGAGTCCTCTCATGGCAAATCAAATGAGATTTGTGACGGAATCGTTTATCGCAGTGTGAACACTGATATGGTTTCTCCTCAGAGTGTATTTTCTGGTGTGACTTTAGAGAACTTGAGTTTGAGAAGGTTTTCCCACATTCGCTGCACTGATACGGCCTCTCGTTGGTGTGAACGCGCACATGCTTCTTCAGATGGGATCCATTCGTGAATCCTCTATCGCAGTGAGGGCACTTGTACGGCCTTTCACCCGTGTGGATTCGCTTATGAGCATCAAGATTCCCTTTGGTGGTGAAATACTTGTCGCACTCGCTGCAGTGGAAAGTCTTGTCGCTGTGTGTCTTCATATGAGCTCTTATACTAGATGCAGTGGTGAAAAAGTCCTTCCCGCACTGTTCGCAGTGAAACTCCTTCTTCACTCGGTGCTCTTTTGAATGAAGTCTCTTCTCTTCTAAGGTAGGAAAGCTGATGTTGCATCTCTTGCATGTCAAATCTTTCTGTTCTGTGTGTTTTCTCTCATGTCTCGCTAAATGTCCCTGTGAGCTCAATGTTTTCCCACAGGTTTCGCAGGAGAAACTCTTGACCTTCAGCTGATCTTTTGATGTAGAGACTGTTTCTTCATCAGAAGATGAACCGCCATTCACATCTGAAAGGAACAAAAGGGTAATAAAATGTCTAATTTTAATTGTACTCAAATAGAATTAGTGAATCATTCACTTTTATTTTATTTATAAATTCAGTATCTGTCTATCAGTATGATCCCCCTTAAACTTGAGAGCGTGGCATTGCACGTGGTCTAGGACAAATTTATCAGTGGATCTGAGAGTCAGGAATAAACTCTTCATCATCCTCATCATTATTCTGATCTCCATCATTATTCTGATCTCCATCATCTTCATGGCTCTGTTGTTGTTGTTGTTCCTCTGCTGTGGTTTCTTCTCCTCGTCTCTCTATCAGGTTCCTGCAGTCCTCCAGTTTGACGGAGCACATCTTCATCTGCAGTTCTCCAGCGTTACAGTCAGAGGTTTGATCAGCGGATCCATGATCCTGAGCGTCAGTATAACACAGTAAAGTGAGGCTGAGCTCTGAGTCCTGTGCTTCTCTGGATCTCCAGACTGAATCCTGAGCTTCTGTCCCATCAGTCACACACACTGAAACCTGACAAAAATAGATAAACAAAGAACAACCTGTTGATTTTAGCCTCATTACTCAGCATTACTCAGGTTATATTGATTAGTTAGCATGTTTTGCTGCTGGATTAATTTGAGATGTGCATTAAGTGAGAAGCTAACACAACTGTGGTTTGATTGAGCTGAAGGATGAAATGATGAGCTGCTCAAACCTCGCACGCAGAGACAAATGACGCACTTCCGCCTCCTGCTGGACTAGAGAGACACTACAGCTCGATAGTCATTTGTCTTTCAGCACTCTGAATGATTAATGTAATGTATCTTTATTGTCCCTAAGTGACATCCATTTAATAATTTTAATAAATATAATCATTTGCACTAAATATTATTGTTTTACAATACTGAGAAAATTAACCTACTATTTGCCTCTGAATGCAAACGTCCACACATGTGAAAGAGGTTCTGTCTTGAAATACAGCAAAGGGCGATGTGTAACTCAGAAGTATTTCTTAAAATGTTGGGTTTGCATTTATCTCTGTATTCCAGAGCATTTGATGTTCTTGTATTGATTATCCTTGAGCTGATTATGAAAATTGACATGATACATTTTTATCTGACATAATTGTATATAACTAACATAGTAAAAAAGAATAATACAAATAAATAAATAAAACACTGAAAAGCTTTACAACAAAAGCCACAAGCAGAGCAAAGACAAGTCTACAAGTCAGTGCGTGATTGGCTGGAGCAAATGCAAATAATGGATCCTGCAAAATAACACACACAGAGAAAGCGAAACAGATACGCCTAGAGAGGGCGTAACACTCAGATAGTGAGCGAGTCTTCCTGCTTATCTGTTCTTCTACAACAGGAAGGTTTAATACATACCAGTTTTAAAGAGGTATGATCTAATTTTCATTTTTGAAAGAAATACTAATGGTATTTTAAACAAGATTATTTATTACACTAGAAGAACTTTTTGACTAGTCAACATGGTCACACAGTACAACTGGACTTATTATTTAATATTATTATTTACACTGAAATACTAAGAGAAAACGCTCTTAAAGAAACAGAATCCGATTAATAATCATCTTTATATTGATTTCTAGATAAATACTGTAATGTTGGAGTGTATGCTTTGTTAGGCCAGTTGATTTATACATTTCCATGGTCTTTTAAATAATCTACAAAACAATTGGGAGATGTCAATTTACTCACAGCCAAAAACATACTTGAAAGTAAAAAGTGTCTATATTTAATTGTACTTAATTAGTTAAACGTAAAAAGTAAACTTATGTTAGATTTTTTTAAATCTACGTTTTTCTCATTTTACTATTGTAAAAAAAAAATGTAAAGAAACCTGTCAAACTGGTCGTCACCATGTTATCATTGTTCTGATTATGTAAGAATGACGCCTTTCAGATGATGATTTTACAGTAGTTGGACATTTATTATTTTGTGATCCAAGACTGCAGGTTTGGAATGACAATTGTATCGATCCAAAGGCGGCGTTCGAAGGGACTTAATTAAATGCAATACATTTTATCTTATGTGTTAACTCGTTTCATCTGACTCCACAAAATGAAAGGTTTATCAATGACATCTGTGCATCGTTAAATACACGTTAATGTTTGACTATTTCAGCTGTAATGAAAATAAAGTCAAAGTCTGTTAGAATAATCAAATATAACAGTTTATTTATAAACTATAGAGAGATATTTCTATATTCTTAAGAACCTTATTACCTTTTGATTGACTTTTTTGGGAATGGGACATTTGTACCAGTCACCCTGAGACCTTTAAAATGATACTAAACAATCCTTAATAGTTCACATTAAAACCATATAAATTCTTGTGTGAGTTTTAAGTGTTACTGAGAGAGAGAGAGAGAGAGAGAGAGAGAGAGAGAGAGAGAGAGAGAGAGAGAGAGAGAGAGAGAGAGAGAAAATGTAGATAAGGTACTCAGGGGTGTGTGTGTGTAAGAGTTGTTCACATGTTAATTTGCAAGCAAGGTCCTTTGTTTTCGGAGACCACTGGTCAGATATTTTCTCTTTAACCAGTTTTCCAGTTTTTCGAAAAAAAAAAAAAAAAAAAAAAAAAAACGGTGGAGTAACGACCCCTCCTCGAGGACAAATGACCTTGAGGGTGTCTTATGGACCTTGAGGGTGTCTTATGTCTTATGGTGACTTATGCACCCTGTATTTTAAGGAAGAACAATTGTTTATTTAAGATACATTATTCATTCACAAAGAAAATTGGTTGGAGTTTTCCTCATTTTTTAAAAATAAAAGCATTAAGATCAATTTCCTCTTTTTGGTCAACTTTAGCGTGAGTGTGTTCACCCATATTCCTGTCTCCTGCTAAGGTCCAGGACGATGGTGGAAACATTAAATGAATTATCCCAGCTGAGAGACTCTGGGTTCGGCCGACCCTGGCCCAGACACGGACTCAAGCTCCTCTACTGGTTCGCCAAAGACTGTGTTTCTTTGGGCGATGACAACGTCATGCTCTGTGAATATGAACCAGCCGACGGATATTTCGGTTTTCACTCATTTGAGAAAAGAAATTATGGTAATAAACTTCTTCCAGATGAATATCACCCTTACTATGTGGTTGGAAATCTGAACACAAAAAAATACCCAAAAGCTAAAGACCTTCCTAAATACGTCTCAGAAGACTACTCTTCAAACCAGCTCGACAGCAACACGGACCGCGTCATCGTCAGTCTCAACGGTTGGGAGTTGGAAAGAGTTTATGTGACTCAACACCACGACCGCTCAAACTACGACCCAAACGCCACTCACCGGATCTCCAGAGGCCTTCTCATGATCATCAGGGAGATGAGTTTAGATACGTTTCTGGAGAAGATGAAATATGCACAGCCCGTCTCACCACCAACCATCGATAACAGACCTGCAACTACAAACACAGAGAGTCAGGATTCCACTGCGGTCACTATACCATCCAGCGATTCAGACGACAGTGAGCCTCCTGAAACACAGGGACTCTTAACATCTACACAAAACCCCTCAGAGAACCTACGCAGGGAAGAGGGATTCTGGGAGAAATTCTGCACCATACTTTAAAACAAACGATCTTCGTCTTGTCTGTAATGCTCCACAGAATGTGTGTTAATGTGATTTTGGTTGAACTCACTGGACAATTTCTCTTTCCCTCGACTACAAAGACAGAAGCAAACAATGAATATTAAAAATATTCACTCTCTCTTGCCACCACAAAGATTGATGTGAAATGAATTTGGGTCTCATCAGAGCCGAGTGTTTTCTGCTGAGCTTTAGTAATATCATTCTCCTACAGAACAAAAAATGTGTACAAACTTAATTGTACAGTTAAACTGATAAACAATAATATTACTGGTATTCGAGGCCAAAGACGAAACCTTCTCGTGTTAACTAATGTGGTTACTTACTAATATTGACAAATATCGTAAAGCTTTTCGTGAGATTCAAAGATTTTAGTGATTGGTGGAAACATAAAGAAAAAAGGCAACTGAGATCAACAGTGCTCAATGACTCTGAAAATATGAAAAATCAATAAATAATGCTCGAAAAGAAGATCAGACATACAAACTGTTCAATTCTATGTAATTAAATGTGTGTGTTGTCATAACATTAAAGCACTGCGGAAGATGTCCGTGAGCATTCATCAGTTTCAGTTGTGCACATGCTACTGGAACACACTTGGAAAGTTATTATAAGTTATTTTTATATGACTGACATCCCACTACTGTATAATGCATCACATGGCATCAATGATGTAGTGTAGAGATGTATTATGTAATCTGTAAAGCTGCTTTCAAACAATATGCATTGTGAAAATACAAATACATGGAATTTATTGTGCATGTAGTTAAGCTAAATCAATGTGTTTATAAGATTATTATTTCTGTATACTTTAGATGTGTGAAACATTTTAATGTACTACAATATACATGCCTCTATTAAAACATGTACATGGTGTCTTTAGGTATAAAAATAGTGGCAATTCAAATTAATGTAAAGATGTATATTTCAATGACAATGGAAGGTTATTCCAGTTCATGGGAGTTTTAAAATAAAATGCTCTTCTTCCAATCACGATGTATTCATATACAAGTGAAACCTTCTTTAGGTTGGAGTCAGTGCAATTTTTCATATGCGTGCAGTGATGTGTCATGAATAAGACAAATCTACATAGAATTAAATAAAAAATCTTTAAGAGAAGTAACACTTGATGTGTGATAAACATTATCTGCATAATCAATTAGCAGTAATAGGAGTTGCTGTGCAGTACGCTTTCTATTGTAAAGCAATCAATTGAACAGTACCACTGACACAAACATTGTTTAACTTTCTAGCTTCAATATGATCGTTGAATGATTGCTCAGTATGTAGACACAGACCCAGGTACTTAAATGCATTTACATTTACAAGAGCGTTCCATCAATAATACAGATTTGTTATTCATTTATATTAACTTGGTTAATATGATTTTTTTTTCTAACAACCCTTTTCTTAATGAGATCAAAACTTGACACTATGTTGTTTAAACTGAGACCAAGTTCAATTCGTTCATTTTTATAAACAGTGCAAGGCGAGCATTTGAGCTTATAAAACTCAAACTTTTATTTTAAATGAGCAATGAGCGATCGTTTCACTTGATAAGACTATTCATCATCTGGAATCGTTCAAAGGGATAATTCACTTTGAAATTAATTTTTGGAATGTTTTAACTTACCTCAAGGGCATCCAAGATGTAGGTGTCTTTGTTTCCACACAGTATTTTCAATTTTGACATTTTTCAGTCAAACCGTTGTTGTCTGCCAGTTAATGCAGATCAAAGAGCAGCACAGAGAAGTCCAAATTAAACATGATTTAATGACTCGTAAATGTAAGTACACACTAATGGCCTAAGACACGAAAAAACGAGCGGTTTGTGCGAGAAAACGAGCAGTATTTATATCGTTTTTACCTCGTGCTCAGAAGTATTGTAAATAATTGTTATTAAGAAAGACCGTGATTGGTCCGTTCCGTCACCAACTGACTGTGATTGGTCCGTTCCGTCACCAACTGACTGTGATTGGTTCACCGTTCACCCTTCTCTAATCAGCGACCACCGTTTGTAAGGATATTTTTATCCAGCGGATGTCAGTGTGGCACAAACTTCAATATCTTCACTTTTTCTCCTCGGATCATAAAGTTCTTCCATTTTACCTGTGATTTTACCTGTGTTTTGTTTCTTATTTCTCAACGGAGTTATAAACGGTGTTTATTTATAAGATGTCCAGCGACTGAAAACCACAAGCATACACCTGTGAACAAACACCTGTAAACTCACTCACTCAGGTGTACTGAAGTGAAACTCACTCGCCACAGATCCGTGAGAGAAACTACTGCGAGGATCGCTTTACCTGGTAAAGAAAGACGAGAACCGTGTTTCATGGGAATATAGGTCTCGTGATCAGCAATACTCGTATTTCTGAAAGTATTTTGAGTTAAAACAACTTCCTGTCGGAGTTTCGCGTCTGATCTGAGATCATGGATTGGGGATCAGATCTGTGGGTAAGTTCATTTAATCACTTACTGCAGATAGAAATACATGGTTGAGTCGTTCATTGATTCAGATGCAGACATTTTGAAGGGCAGAAAGTAATGATTAACTTTTTCACTATAAAAAAATGTAGTTTAACGTTACTTGTCTAGAATCACTGACAAACATAATATAAACGTGACTATAATAACGATATAACATAGAGCTCGTTTTTGGGTTTAAAAACGGTAACGTTAGACAAAAAATGCTGCACATGTGAACGTATCAAATCTTTTATTTGAAATAAAAAAAAATGTCGCCGATTTTTTTTTGTTGATAATCTGTAGGGTAAAAAACCCCACAGAACGCATTAGACTGCAACTGGGAAACTTAAATAAAATATGTTAAACGTCCGTAAAGGAAATACAAATGTTGTTTAATTTATGTTAATGTTCATTTGTATTATGTATTGAGTCACTCACGTGACCGCTGGACTGTGATTCGCTTTAGCGCTGGTGTGTGGTTTAGTACTGGTTAAACTGGTTTAGATGTCTCAGGACAGCAGAAGAGATCACACACACAGTTTCTCATCTGATTGCTTTGAAATGAGTTCAGGAACAAAAGAACAGCATATGAGTGATGAAATCCTAGATAAGAACTCATACTTATAAAGTGTGTGTGTGTGTGTATTTAAGCATTTTGGGTTTAAATATAAGTACACTACACCCATTATTATTTTAAAAGAAGATGCAATATTAATAAATTAATCAGATATTGTGTTTTCATATGGGGTAGTATATAATATTAGTTAAATAAGTGTGTTAAATGTGTCTCGTGACTCCTCAGGTCGTACTGTCACAACTAGCGAGAAGCAGATTGACCAGTCTAGCTAGTTTGTGGGAGAAAGAGCAACACACACATACCACACCTATTCTGAGACCAGATATCTTACACACCAGAGGCGAATAACAATGCACTGTGAATCCATGGCTCTGTGGTGTGTATCGTGTGTGTTTGCAGGACCAGCATGACGTGATCGAGCGACACACTCAGAGCGGACTGGATCTGCTGGACCGATACTTGAAGTTTGTCAAAGAGAGAGCCGAGGTTGAGCAGAATTACGCCAAACAGCTCAGGCAAGAGCTTGTGTTTTACCCTAGATCAGAAACCCCAATATCATCATCCTGCGAGGGGAGATAACGTTATTTTCATGAATAAGACCCAATTTATATTTTTTTTTGGAAAATATTTTGTGTCTATTAAGTTAATTTATTTAGCTTTTTCCTCACTTTATCACTGTGATATCAGATGCATTATTTTTTTATCTAAATATTTGTAATTTATTTTAGTCAATGTATCAACATATTTATTTAGTTTAATCAATTTTTTTTACACCGTTTTCTTTTAAATTTTCCACAGACCGCCCTTATATAGAGAGCATTGGCTCATGAATATTAATTAGTTCACTCAAGTTGTGCAACATCATCACCTTTGAAACTCGTTTCTGCATCATTTCATTGGTCAAATCAACAGAGAGCGTTTAGTTTTTCCATATAAGGGTGGCGACAGCGTTTGGAAATAAGTTATTATTATGCTAATTATTCCATGTGTGTTAACAATGTACAGTTATCTTGTGTTCTTGCTGGTGTAACCTGCTTTATGTGTGTTTCCCTGAAGGAGTCTCTGTAAGAAATATTCCAGACGAGGCATCAAAGAAGATCAGGACACAAAGTGAGTGAAGCGTCTCGATTAAACACTGACGATCAGCATTCCTGAGAGTCGAACAGTGCTAGCAATGCCGGTTCGATTCCCAGAGAATGCATGATGTGTTAATGCGTATCTTGAATGCAATGTTAGTCTCTTTGATGATGTAAGCGTGAAGTAAACACAGAAATATTAGCGAAATTCGAAATATATTCGAATTCTAAAGGCAAAACTGAATGTTAGAGGAAAAGTACAGTTTACACGCAGATACTGGATAAGTTTAGAAAAAAAAAACGTGCAAGTTATCATCATATCTCGCGGCTCTCGACACACATCAAAAATTCTAATTCATGGTTTTTGCATTCAAATGTGTAGCTTTTAAATTCGACAAATATTCGAAACTCACGTTTATCTGCCAGCCCTACGGTAAAGGCGTGTTGTTGGCGGTGTGTGTGCAGGTTGAGCAGTCAGCAGGCGTTTCAGGCGTTGCTGAACGAGCTGAGCGAGTACGCGGCTCACAGAGAGCAGCTGTCCGAGAGCATGACGGTGTCCATCTGTGCGGAGCTCAGCAGAAACCTGCAGGAGCTGCGACTCGAGCGCAAGAACGTGAGCCAGACCTCACACACACGCATCACACACACACTCACTGCACAATATCCCTGTCATGATCCTCCTCACTGTGACACTCGTCTCCTGTTGTAGCATTTCTGTGAAGTTAAGAAGGCTCAGCAGAACCTGGAGACCACCTTCAAACAGCTGGAGATGGTGAGTAAATGTGTGAGCGAGCGAGTGTGTGAGTGAGTGAGTGAGTGAAGGAGCAAGTGTGTGAGTGAGCTAGTGGGTGTGTGAGTGAGTGAGTGAACGAGCAAGTGAGGTAGCGAGTGAGTGAGCGAGTGAGCGAGTGAGCGAGCGAGCGAGCGAGCAAGTGAGCTAGCGGGTGTGAGTGAGTGAGCGAGTGTGTGAGTGAGTTTGCAAGTGAGCTAGCGGGTGTGAGTGAGTGAGCGAGCAAGTGTGTGAGTGAGCTAGCGGGTGTGTGAGTGAGCTAACGAGTGTGTGAGCGAGTGAGTGAGTGAGCGAGCAAGTGAGCTAGCGGGGGTGTGAGTGAGTGAGCAAGTGAGGTAGCAAGTGAGTGAGTGAGTGAGTGAGCGAGTGAGCGAGTGAGCGAGCGAGCGAGCAAGTGAGCTAGCGGGTGTGAGTGAGTGAGCGAGTGTGTGAGTGAGTTTGCAAGTGAGCTAGCGGGTGTGAGTGAGTGAGCGAGCAAGTGTGTGAGTGAGCTAGCGGGTGTGTGAGTGAGCTAACGAGTGTGTGAGCGAGTGAGTGAGTGAGCGAGCAAGTGAGCTAGCGGGGGTGTGTGTGAGTGAGCTAGCGGGTGTGAGTGAGCAAGTGTGTGAGTGAGTGAGTGAGTGAGCAAGTGAGCTAGCGGGTGTGAGTGAGCAAGTGTGTGAGCGAGTGAGTGAGTGAGCAAGTGAGCTAGCGGGTGTGAGTGAGCAAGTGTGTGAGCGAGTGAGTGAGTGAGCGAGTGAGCTAGCGGGTGTGAGTGAGCAAGTGTGTGAGCGAGTGAGTGAGTGAGCGAGCAAGTGAGCTAGCGGGTGTGAGTGAGCAAGTGTGTGAGCGAGTGAGTGAGTGAGCGAGCAAGTGAGCTAGCGGGTGTGAGTGAGCAAGTGTGTGAGTGAGTGAGTGAGTGAGCAAGTGTGTGAGTGAGCTAGCGAGTGTGTGAAGGAGCGTGTGTATGTGAGGGAGTGAGTGTGTGTGTGTGTGTGTGTGTGTGTGTGAGGGAGCAAGTGTGTGTGAGATGCGCAGATTATGTTCCCGCGTTAAATGCACAGTTTCCCTAAAGCCACCAGGGCTTGGGCCCATCGTCGCTGCTTGCAGCTATATTGTTTATTTTAGTCTAGTTTAGTTTGTTTTTTAATTATAAAAATAGTTTTGTTTCAATTTTAGCTAATTGTCTTTCATTTTCTTTAACAAAAATAGTTTTTTGACGGACAAAAAAACTTTAGTAAACTATTAAAAAAAATTATTAAAAAACCAAAGGACACAAAAAAGATTTAAAACATTGACAGTATTTCATACTAAAATTAATCTATGCACTTTTTTAAATTCTACTTTATTTTGGTCATGAAAATGTATTTTATTTGAGTGGTAATTTCATTTAAAAAAATGTATTTATATAAATCTATTATCTTTAATGATTAAAACTGTAAAGCAGCCTCCGTTCAGAAAAACATAAACACATGCATCCCTGCGCCAGATTACATTCATGATTGACTGATTGATTGATTGATTGATTGACTGATTGATTGATTGATTGATTTCTTCTAACCAGAGTAAGAGGCGTTTTGAGAAGGAATGGAGAGAGGCAGAGAAGGCTATTCAGCAAACAGAGAGAGTGCAGCAGGACACCAACTCGACTAAAGCAGAAGTGGACAGGGTACATGCAAACACCGCACACACTGCATACGACCTGTGCTCTGGGTTTGATGATGCATCGTGTGTGTGTGTGTGTGTGTGTGTGTTTTAGGCCAAACAGCAATCACACAGTCGCGTCCACATCGCGGACGAGAGTAAGAACGAATACGCTTCACAACTCCAGAGATACAACAAGGAGCAGAGCAACCTCTACCACTCAGAGATTCCCTCCGCGTTTAAGGTGTGTTGCTGTGTGGTTTGATCGAGAGCATCGCCGCGCACCGAATATTAAACCCTTCGTGTGTGTGTCGTCGACAGAAGCTGCAGGAACTGGAGGAGCGGCGCATCCGGCTGCTGGCCGACGGCTACGTGCAGCTCTCCGAGGCCGAGAAGAAGGTCCTGCCCAACATCAACAAGTGTCTGGACACGATCAGCAGCACCGGGAGGAACATCGATGAGAAACAAGTGGGTACAAACGCTCACTCGCTCACTCACTCTCTCACTCACTCACTCACTCACTCCCTAAGTCACTCCCTAAGTCATTCCCTAACTTATTCCCTAAGTCACTCCCTAACTCAATCCCCAAGTCACTGACTCACTCCCTAAGTCACTGACTCACTCCCTAAGTCACTGACTCACTCCCTAAGTCACTCCCTAACTCATTCCCCAAGTCACTCACTAAGTCACTCCCTAAGTCACTGACTCACTCCCTAAGTCACTGACTCACTCCCTAAGTCACTCCCTAACTCATTCCCCAAGTCACTCACTAAGTCACTCCCTAAGTCAGTCCCTAGGTCACTCCCTAAGGCACTCCCTAAGTCACTCCCTAAGTCACTGACTCATTCCCTAAGTCACTCCCTAACTCAATCCCCAAGTCACTGACTCACTCCCTAAGTCACTCCCTAAGTCACTGACTCACTCCCTAAGTCACTGACTCACTCCCTAAGTCACTCCCTAACTCATTCCCCAAGTCACTCACTAAGTCACTCCCTAAGTCAGTCCCTAGGTCACTCCCTAAGGCACTCCCTAAGTCACTCCCTAAGTCACTGACTCATTCCCTAAGTCACTCCCTAACTCAATCCCCAAGTCACTGACTCACTCCCTAACTCATTCCCCAAGTCACTGACTCACTCCCTAGGTCAGTCCCTAGGTCAGTCCCTAAGTCAGTCCCTAAGTCAGTCCCTAAGTCAGTCCCTAGGTCACTCCCTAAGTCACTCCCTAACTCATTCCCTAAGTCACTGACTCACTCCCTAAGTCACTCCCCAAGTCACTGACTCATTCCCCAAGTCACTCACTAAGTCACTCCCTAAGTCAGTCCCTAGGTCACTCCCTAAGGCACTCCCTAACTCACTCCCTAAGTCACTCCCTAACTCATTCCCCAAGTCACTGACTCACTCCTTAAGTCAGTCCCTAAGTCAGTCCTTAAGTCAGTCCCTAAGTCAGTCCCTAAGACACTCCCTAAGTCACTCCCTAACTCACTCCCTATGTCACTGACTCACTCCCTAAGTCACTCCCCCTAACTCACTCCCTCCCTAAATCACTCCCTCACTCCGTAACTCAGTGACTAACACTGGATTTCTAACTTCACTCGGCCTGGAGGAAGTTCCCGAACCCTGGCAGGGGTCTGATGTGACGTGAGCCATTGAACAGTGAACCGTTTTTTCCTGCCGGTGCGAGTGAATGTAGTCAGAGGTCGCCCTGGTGTGGATTTAATGTAGTTACACTCACTGTAACCATGGTATTGTGGCAGAAATAGTTGAATATTTTCTACATTATTCATCTCAGGGTTCGTTCAACTTTCTGAGTGAAATTCAAGTACTGTCAGTGTGCTTCACACTTTTTATAGCTCTTCGAAGCTCTAAATATTGTCTAATGTGATGATCTGGGAAACTAAAAGTTAAAAGATGTAGGAGAAATGGCGAACACATTTATGTAAGAAAAATGTTAATAATACTTTAACCTGGAGGTGAGCACTTGTCTTGTTGGAGCACTTGTTGTCTAATTAGCCAGTCAATCAAAAGTAGGAAATCACAAAGTCTCATGAAAAACAAACACTTTCCTTCAAATTAGTGACTGAATTACACAGAGCAGTGTATATCCTGAAACTCCACGACTGTGTGTGTGTGTGTGTGTGTGTGTGTAGGAGACTCTGGTGCTCATCGAGCAGCACAGATCTGGCGCAGCGCCCCCTGCTGACGTGGAGTTTGAGGATTACAGTCAGGCAATCAAACCTGTCGGGACTGACAACACACCACACCTGCCGAAGGTGCGCATCAAACAACTGTTCAAGAAAAAACAGGTACAGCCCCCCCTCACACACACACACACACACACACACACACAACCCAGATGATATGTCTGATTTTCACCAGTCTAACTCTGCATCTCTCCAGCTTTATATTCATATACAGTCAAACCAAAGATTATTCAGATATAATTTGATATTTTTCACTAGAGTTTGCAGGACACTATAGTTCATTTATAATTGAGGAGAGCAAAATAAACTGTGATATTTTACCCAAATATTCTTCAGTGACTACAGTAAGATTTATAACATCTGGGTGCAATAATGACTCCTCCACTTTGAGCTGATGTTTTACTGAAGTGTGTTTTCTGTAATTGCTAATGCTCTTTTTACACACACACTGAACAACATGAAGCATTACTTGGTCACTGGTTGAGCTAAACTGGTATTATCTAATTGTGTAGTTAAATTTAACAGATATTCAACATAATTCATGTGTGAGAGTCCAACAGAAGGACGGACAAAACCAGTCAAATATCCACTGATCTGAGAACTGAGTTCTGCTCATATTTATCACCATTAGCTAAACTATAGAGAATAAACTGATAATGTGGGAAACGTTGAAGCTGTCTGAATAAGTTTAGTTTAACTGTATATATATATATATATATTATGAATACTTATGTTTGTGTGTGTTTGGATTTCCAGGTGACGTCTCCATCTGATAAAAACATGGTACGGTGAGCTTTATTCCCTGCATGACCTTTACTTTTATACTCAAAGACATTTACAGTGATTGAGGTGCAGTGAAGGATCATCTTGTTTTGTTCTCTGTGGTTTGATTTGATTTCAGCATTATTAACAATGATCTCATGCTTCATTTCTAATGCACAAAACAAGGGCTTTTCTTCAGTAACCGCACGGTTGAAATGAGTTCATATTTCATGTGGAGTAAAGGTTACGTTTTATGGCACTTTAAGCTGGAAAAACTATTTGAGGAGTAAAGGAGTGAGGAAAGGTGAATTATAACTTGAGCCACACATAATAATGCATCGAAATATTGAAAATATAATCATTAGTTCCAGAAATATTAACATTATAACAAATGTATGAAAAAAATCTGGAAAAAGTCCATATGATTGACAGTTTGGCTGGACTGATTAGACTGACAGCTTTATGCTGTGTGTGGGAGGGGTTTATGTAAGACTAACCTATATTAAAAATACATTATAAGAATGTTTTATGTGCTGAATCGTGGTGTGTGTGTGTAGCCGTCTTCGCCGGAGGACTTCTCTCGTCTTCCTCCAGACCAGAGACGCAGGCGTTTGCAGGAGAAGATGGAGGACGTACAGAAAGAGCTGCAGAAAGAGACAGAGCAGAGGTTCGTTTACTGCTACACACTTACATGTGACGCGATAACCCGGCGGCGGAAGAACGACACGCTTACATTCGACACGATAACCCAGTGGTGCAAGAACGACACGTTTACATGCGACGCGATAACCCGCGGGGCGCAAGAATGACACTCATGTGACACGATGACCCGGCGGCGGAAGAACGACAAGCTTACATGCGACATGATAACCCAGTGGCGCAAGAACGACACGACAACCTGGTGGCACAAGAACGACATGTTTACATCCGACATGATGACCCGGTGGCGAAATAACGGTCTGGTGTTGATTGGCTGAGCAGCGTCTCTTAGCCCCGCCCTCTGTAGTGTATCTGCGACAGAGTTTGGGTCGTGTTGTTCATGTCAAGGAGACGCTGTTTCGAGGAAAGAGCTGATGATGCAATGATTGTTGTGAGAAAATTAAAGCGTTTTTGAGCTTGGACTCTTTAACTGATCCTTTTAACTGTGTGTGTGTGTGTGTGTGTGTGTCCGTCAGCGAGGCTCTGATGAAGATGAAGGGTGTTTATGAGCAGAACTCGCAGCTCGGCGATCCATCCAGCCTTCAGCCTCAGATCATAGAAACTGCTGTCAACATCGTCAGACTCAAAGGAGAGATCAGCAAATACCAGGTACACACACACACACACACACACACACGGACACTATCAGACCAGGACAGAATCTGCGCTGAATTGTGACTATTGTGTTTTTGCAGCTGAATTGATCTCATATTTGATTAAGTGTGATCATTGATTCTGCAGCTGTGTTAAACACGTGTGTGTTCCTCAGGGTCAGCTGACTGAAGCCGGTGGAGGGACAGCCTGGTGAGTGTGAGAGTGAGTGAGAGAGAGAGTGAGTGAGAGAGAGAGTGAGTGAGAGAGAGAGAGAGAGAGAGAGAGTGAGAGAGAGAGAGAGTGAGTGAGAGAGAGAGAGAGAGAGAGAGAGTGAGAGAGAGAGAGAGTCTTTCAGCACATGAGAAACTCCAGAAGTTGTTTGCAGTTTTGACTAAGGTGTGTGTGTGTGTGTGTGTGTGTGTGTGTGTGTGTGTGTGTGTGTGTGTGTGTGTGTGTGTAGTGCGGAGTATCTGGCTGTGCTGAGTGAGTCCAGCACGTCTCCGTCAGAGAACATCTATGAATGTGGTTTTGAGGACGAGTTCGAGGTGGACTTCCCCATGGGCCAGTGTACAGCGCTCTATGACTTTGATGGTGAGCTTCTGCTGTTCTTCATCATCACACACACACACACGTCTTCAGTTCCACCGTTCATCTCAGAAATATCTCTTAGTGTGGCCATTTCCAATTTGTCATAATTGTAGTTTAAAGTTAAGTTGTTTTAGTTTACATCTAATAATAATGTCATAATTATGACGTAATATGCCAATTTCTATATTTATCATAAATATGACTGTGTTTCAAACTTTGTCATAATTGTGGTTTTACGTGATACTTTTCATCTCATTTATAACTTTTTTATGTTATAATTTTAACTTTGTCTTGACATTTAAAGCAATAATTTTAACTACATCTAATAAATAGGATTTGAAAAGCCAAAATAATTACACTATTTCATAATTAGGACTTAGTATGTAATAATTTTAATTTAAGTCGTAATTTCGACTTCATCTCATAAATATGACTTGGGATGTAATAATTTGGCATAATTATCATTTACAAAAGCATGATTTTTTTTCTTTACGTTTATAACACTAAATATTGTGTTTTCTTGGCATGAAACTACAGAAAACTAGTGAGAGTTTCTAATACAGCAGCAAATTCCTTCCCATGAGCCTCTGCCTGAGCGCGCGTTTGTGTGCGTGTGTGTGTGTGTGTGTGCAGGCAGCAGCGAGGGAGCCGTGTGCATGCGGGCGGGCGAGCAGCTGAGTCTGATGGACGAGGATCACGGTGACGGCTGGGTCAGAGTTCAGAGAGCCAGTGGAGATGTGGGATACGTGCCGGCCTCATACATACAGATCATCTGATCAGTCATGTGACACTCACTCCATACACTCCTGTGTTATGCTAGCTTTACTCTCAGTATGTTATATGCTTCTGCTGGTGAATTCTGTGCATTTGTGTTTTTAAAGATTATGCTTATTGTGTTTGTTGAAGTGTGTGTGTTTTACATGAATCCAGTCGTGTGTGTTCAGACGTTCGACTTTGCTTCTGTATGTTATACTGCTGAATTAAAGGCTGTTCACACCAAACATGATGATAACTGTTACTATTAGCACACCAACATACTTTAACTAACTGCAGTTGGAGGATTCTGATTGGCTGATGGATTGAAAGTTCATTCCTCAGATCTTTATCATTATAATTATTATTTCACTATTTTATTTAATTTTTAAAATTGATCCGGTTTACAATAACAATAATGATAGTTTCAGTAACTTTGTAATCCATTTTATGTAAATAGTCTACTGTGAAAAAGTAGTTAGCGTCGCCTGTCTCTTTAAATGCTCGCGGTCTTTCAAGCAGGATGGATTCTGATTGGCTGTCAGTGTTTTTAACGTACATCAGCTGGGGAAATGGTTCTGAGGTGATTCCAACGTTATCGTTCCTCTGTGTCGTTATAGTTATAGTTGTGGACTCTGATATTCTTTAACAATGAGAGTGATTTTAAATTATATTGTTAGTTATCGACCTATTTTAAGAATGGCATTTAGAGCGATTACTATTTTTTTTATATCAATCGTTGTTTATGTGAATGGGCCCATTTAGTATTCAACATTTAGATTTTAAAGTCAAACGCAACTCTTTTAAAACATGGATCTATCATGATGTGTTTGGTACTTCTGTGAGTGTGTACAGACATCGGATCAGAATTACGGTAAGTCGTTGAGTAGAGTTCTGTTTTGGTACAAATACAGGTGTGTGTGTCTTGTGTGTCTCCCCCTGCTGGCGACACATAACATCAATAATTATCATTTTGTCGACCCTTGGGTGTAGTATGAATTCATGAAGAACATGTGAATACATCAAAATGTTAACTTTTATTCTGTAACATTTTTGAATACTGTTCTTACCCCACTCGATTTAAAGTAAAGGGTTGTGAATCCTGTTTTATGTTGATCGGAAACTAAAGCAGACTTGGTTCGATGTATACATTTCCATTTTAATTCATTAAGAAACTAAAATATATTCTTTCAAAAATAAACTGCCTCTGAAATTGGGCATATTTGGCATATTTCACTCAAGCGTGAACAAAATCACAGTTTTGAAACATCATCATCATCAAGATCTCAAATGCATCACAATATAATGTGTAAACAAAGCTGAAATCTGCAATATTTTCAATGTAAAAAAAAACTTTTAAAAAAAGTATTCCCCTATTTGGGAAAAGTCACATGTTCGGATGTCTGAAAGTACTTTTGTGCTTCAGTCTTGTCTTTTTTAACATTTATTGTAATCTGAATATTTAATTAATGACAGGGATATTAGAGACACTCCACCCAAACATTTTGAAGAATGTCGGAAACCAAATATTGACTTCAATAGTATTTTTCCCCCATAATATCAACTGTTTGGTTATCCATATTCTTCAAAGAATCGTTTGTGTTCAGCAGAAAAAACAAATTCATACAGGTTTGGAACAACTTAAAGGTGCAGTGTGTAATGTTTAGGGGGATATGTTGACAGAAATGCAATATCATATAAACATAACTATGTGTTCAGTGGTGTATAAAGACCTTACATGATGAACCATTGTGTTTATTAGAATGAGCATTTCTGTCTACACCATAGACTAAAAAATATGGACAAAGCGTCTGTGACGTCACCCATAGACTCTCTGAAGAACGGGTTTGAGGCTGTTTATGGGGGGATGGGCGGCGCCATACTGGAAAATTTTGGGAAATACAAAATACAAAAGTTTCAGAAAGGATACAGAGATGGTATGATGTGTTGTCAGATCATGGCCGAGACGTCAAATTCACTCGGCGCAGCCCGTTATCAGCTGTCAATCAAAGTTAACCGCCCTTATTTGTCATACATTTTATATCTAAATATGATCTAAACTAACGAGTTAAAAAAAATTCACCCCCCTCACAGTTGTCAGGCACTCTGAACCTATCCAAAAATACAATAAAAGTCCATGGGACCAAACTGTAAAAACATGAATTTATGCTGTGAAAACGGATATTTTAACATGACGTCTATGGATATTTGCTCCCTTTTGGGACCGGCCTCTAGTGGATCTGAGATGTATTGCAGTTTTTCGCACTTCCGGGTAGGCTTCATCTTTCAGATTAGAATGTTCCCGCTTGGTCTACACACACTGCGGGTCCTCTTACATCTACGTTTCTACGGTGGCCCTGAGTGGACACACGCGTCGTGTGTGTGTTGTTCTTCATGAAAAGAAGCTGCTAAAGTCAGCGGATAAAACACTGACACATTGACTAACAACAACAATAATATTCACAATAACATCGTTTTACTGAATAATTAAGTAAACCTTTCTTTGTAAAGAAACTCATTGTTTAACAGGCAGCTCTATGCTGTCTCAGACGACATAACTTCCTGTCGGCCAGTGTAACTTCTGTTGGATGCAGTCCCACTAGATGCCGCTAAACGTACACACTGCACCTTTAAGGGCCAGTAAATGATGATTCGTGTGTGAACTGGACACGGTGTCGGTTCTCGATCCCTCGAGCTGCTCAGACCTCAGATCCTCTGTCCGGCTCCAGTTTGTTGGACAGAACCGTGAGGATGCGGTCAAACTTGGCGCAACGCTCCTTGTGCCCGGCCTGCGCACCCGTCTGACCCCAGAAGAGGCGCAGGGAGAACTCCGTCTGAAACACCTCCAGGAGCTCCGGGATCGGCTCCCATCCGGCTGGGGGAAGAGAGACAGGTCAGCCGTCCAATCAGATCCTCACAGTCTATCACATGTGCATGTGTGTTTATCCTGTTCTGACAATTTTTTTTCAATGTTGCTACGACTTCTAATAATGTTATTTTGGCTATAAACAGGGTTTGTACAAGTGCTTGAATTTGACATTTTGAAATTCAAGGCCTAGAAAACCCTTGAAAACAGACAAATTTACGAAGAGGTCCTTGAAAAGAGTTTGCGTGGCGTGTGCAGTCACTAGCATGTTGTGTGTGTGTGTACCTGACAGCAGGCCGTGAGTGTAGCGTGTAGTCTGTGTGTGTGTGTACCTGACAGCAGGCCATGTGCGTAGCGTGTGCAGTCACTAGCGTGTAGTGTGGCGTTGCGAGCCGACTGTAGCAGGTTGTAGAGCAGCTGACAGCCTCTGTCTGTGGATTCAACACTGTCCTCGCCCTCCATCAGCCTCAGCAGCGGCACCATGTGTGGTAGAGACACCGGCTCCGAGCCCATGCAGTCTGTACACACACACACACACACACACACGCTGTAAACACACTCCAACTCACTCAGTCTCGCACACACTCGCTGTGAAATCCTTCAGACTCGCTTAAAACTCACTCAGACTCACTGTAAACTCACTCAGACTCACTGTAAACTCACTCAGACTCACACATACTCACTGTAAACTCACTCAGACTTGCTGTAAACTCACTCTGACTCACTGTAAACTCATGTAGACTCACTGTTAACTCACTCAGACTCACTGTAAACTCACTCAGACTTGCTGTAAACTCACTCAGACTCACACATACTCACTCAGACTTGCTGTAAACTCACTCAGACTTGCTGTAAACTCACTCAGACTCACTGTAAACTCACTCAGTCTTGCTGTAAACTCACTCAGACTTACTGTAAACTCACTCAGACTTGCTGTAAACTCACTCAGACTTACTGTAAACTCACTTAGACTCACTGTAAACTCACTTAGACTCTGTAAACTCACTTAGACTCACTGTAAACTCACTCAGACTTGCTGTAAACTTACTCAGACTCACTGTAAACTCACTCAGACTTGCTGTAAACTGACTTAGACTCACTCTAAACTCACTCAGACTCACTGTAAACTCACTCAGACTTGCTGTAAACTCACTCAGACAAACTGTAAACTCACTCTGATTCACTGTAAACTCACTCAGACTTTCTGTAAACTCACTCAGACTTTCTGTAAACTCACTCAGACTCACACATACTCACTCAGACTTGCTGTAAACTCACTCAGACTTGCTGTAAACTCACTCAGACTCACTGTAAACTCACTCAGTCTTGCTGTAAACTCACTCAGACTTACTGTAAACTCACTCAGACTTGCTGTAAACTCACTCAGACTTACTGTAAACTCACTTAGACTCACTGTAAACTCACTTAGACTCTGTAAACTCACTTAGACTCACTGTAAACTCACTCAGACTCCCACACACTCGCTGTAAACTTTAGACTCACTGTAAACTCACTCAGACACATACTTGCTGTAAACTCACTAACTCTCTATAAACGTACTCAGACTCACACACACTTGCTGTAAACTTACTCACACACACTCGCTGTAAACTCACTCAGACTCACTGTAAACTTACTCAGACTCACAGAAACTCGCTTTAAACTCACTCAGACTCACACACACTCACTGTAAACTCACTCACACACACTTGCTGTAAACTCACTCACACTCAGACAAACACACTCACCCTCGCCCTCATTCAGGGACTTCATGAAGGGCTTCAGGCTTTTTTCGAAGGTCACGGCGCTCTCGGTGTGATTACGCCTCAGCGCTCGCCACGTATTCTCCAACCTGACCACCTGAAGGACAACATTTACATTACTAACAACACAATTACAGCGCGCAACATCATGTCTGCTGAATACAGTACTTTATTCTCACTCATTTTAGGGGCTGATTCCTAAAATAGTGCCTGTTTTGCTTTAGCATGTCCCTTTCTCACTAAATATGATGTGGATTTCATAGCATTTTTGCTTTTAACATGCTGATTTTTACTTTGATACTTTGATATATGATATTATTTTATGTCTAATCCTAATTTTGAGGTTAGAATTGCGGTCACTATAGCATGACGTGTACAGTATGAAGTGTAGTATGACATGTGTACCTGCGGCAGCTCGAGCGCCTTCATGACGGCGGAGAAGGCGTACAGGTCCCGCGTGGTGTTGCGCAGCTCCTTTGCCAGCGTGATGATCCTGCTCAGCACCATCGCCCGCTGGACCAGCGTCCCAGTACAGCCCAGCAGATCCACCGCCACACCCAGAGCCAGACAGTGGTGCCTGTGGGAGCGCAGCGGGGGCGTCAGCACACGGCACTAGTGCCCGGGAACACATTACAGCTGACTTATGTAATCAGATTACTTTTTCAAGTAACTAGTAAAGTAACACTTTACTTTCAAATTCTGCAACAAAATATCTGAGTTACTTGTTCACATTTATTGACTGACAGCTCTCCTGTCCTCATGATGAGACAAGACAGTGTCCTGCGTTTCCGTGTGGACGAACGGCCGAACCGCGTAAAAAAAGTCACAGTAAAAGAATACCGTGTGTCCGTGTTGAGCTTTCTCCTGCATCTGTTCTCCACAATAACAGCAGAAAGGTGTTTGAGCCTCTACTGTTCAGGAGTCAATCTGCATTTCCTTCAGCATGAGGATTATTATTGTTATATTTACTTTAGCTGTTAAAGGGTCTTTTGCCCAAACTTGTTTTGCTATAAAAAACAAGCCCAGCCCAGGTGAAAAAGAAGGAACGCAAAAACATTACGCATTACTACTCTAACAAAGAAACTAAGTAACACAATTAGTTACTTATTAAGGGAGTAACGCAATATTGTAATGCGTTACACACACACACACACACCTCTCCAGAAGGTCCCGTCTGAGCTGGCCTCCGTGTGGCAGCGTGACGAGCTCCAGTCCGCTGTCAACTCCCATGATGCTCTTCTGCTCCGGCGTCACACCTGTGACACGCGCCACCTGAGCCATAGTGGAAATATTATCAATAAAAGCTCTGTAAACCCTTGCAAATATGAGCGTGTCCCACCGACCAGGGCTGCGTTTCCCAAAAGCATCGTAAGTTGATCGTAGAACAATTGCCACCAATGGTCTGTACGATCAACTTAGGCTTACGATGCTTTTGGGAAACGCAGCTCAGGTCACTTCTATATTATTCATAAATTATGCGTTATTCGGTTGGGTGATAATAACCCAGTGTGTGTGTACCTGGCAGTTGACGCTGAGCATGTGCAGCGCGGTGGCTCTGGCGTCGGTGTGTGTGAGCAGCTCTTTGACCCTCATTAGGACGCTCTGGTCCAGCGGGCGGTTGTTCTCGGGCAGCAGAAGCGAACGAAACTCCTCCAGACGAAAGCAGGAGCTCGTCTCCGTCTGCGGCCGCTGGAAACACCAGTCGCGCTCGTCCTCGTCTCCGA